AGATGACCTGCTCCTCCTCTGTTGGTGCTGTTGCCCCACGCACAGACTCCACAGACTCAGCGGTGGCAAATTTCGATGTAGCACTAGGAATAGGGGCAGTTTCGGGTTCTAGTGCTTCCACGGGAGCTGCTGCTACTAATGGTGCTGCTGACGCTGCTGTAATTATCGGCGTTGCTGCTGCAGCTGCTGGGAGTGGTACTGAAGGTGCCGTTGCTACTATAGGTACTGGCGCTTCAGTTGGTATTGGTGCTAATGGGGCTGCTGGTACTGCTACTGGTATGGGTGTTGCTGTTGCTGTTGCTTGCACGGGCGCAGCTGGTACTGCTACTGGTATTGGTGTTGATGGTGCTGCTTCTATTACTGGAGATTGTGTTTCTGGCACTACTGCTGCTATTATGGGCGTTGATTGTGCTGCTGGTGCTGCTGCTGTTGTTACGGGCGGTTCAGCTGCCATTGGTGCCGCTTGTGCTATAGGTGGTGTTGCTCCTATTGGTGGTGTTGGTATCGGTGCTGCTGCTGCCAACGGTGTTGCTTGTGTTGCCACTGATGGTGGTGCTGAGGCGGATGTGGCTGTGGTGTCGAGGTTAGTCACTAGCAGTCTGGTCACTGTTCCATCGGGTGCTCCTGCAGTGGCTACCGTGGGCGCAAATGGGTCCACGAGGTTTTTTGTCAGTGGGCTTGGGTCAAACAATGGAAGTGGGGGCTCAGCTAGATCAGTAGGGGGTACCACAAGCTCCACTGACGGCCCCTGCCCTACATTCACTGCAGCAGAAGAAGGAGAGGCCTGCACTACAGGATTTCCCAAAAAAGCTTCTGGTGCCACCTGTACATGGGGCATAGCCCTATGTACTTGTGGTGTGGATCTTGTGTGGTGTAGCACGGGGGCCTCGAGGACTCCATGCGCTACATCATCATAGACAGCAGAGGACAGGCAATAAAGTGGTTTCCTGGCTTTGCACAGTGGAAGCTCATGAATTCCTCCACATGAACGCAAGCTGCTATATCCAGTAGCGCCAATGTGACTTCATCCGGCCCTGATTTGGTAGAAACTGCACATCAGCGAAGCTTTCAACTAAGGGTGTTGAAGCAGCGCTCTGCAGGAGAGCGCTTGCCTTTATATGGCTGCACAGCTTGTGACGCTACAGCCGCGTCGCAAATAGCACCTCTGCGTGTACGTCAACTGTTGGCTGTGCCACAGTTTTACTCTTTGGCTTTACTATGCTATGACAACCCAAGGGAGCATCGATTGACTCACTAGAGCTCAAGACGTCATCCCAAACATCCAACATGGAGGAACTTTCAGATTTCTCCGTGGGCCTCGAGGAATCCCTCCGAGCTGCCGAGGGAATATGTCTTTGTTTAAGAAGGTTCTGAGCTTCCTGATGGGGGCTAACGGCCATGTGGCGCTCCCCAGCACCCAAATGCGTACTCGAGCTATGAGCAGCTGTATTGGCGCATACAATGCACAATAAACACAACAGCGCCGAAACCAGCACCACGTTTATTCGCCGGGCTCTCGGTAGGAGGGATCGCTGTCCTGTGGGGCAAGGGGGGCAAGGACGGCTTGTTAGCCGTGTGTTCATGGTGGAGTCGACGATGAGAGTGCGCTTAAAGATTTAAGGGGGTCGGCCATCAAGCCCTATTCGTCTATCCCAGGGTATACTATAGCGCCGCCGTTCGCTGCCTCAAAAGGTCCCTCTTTCTCTGTGTTGCATAACCGTAGGCGCCTAAGCCCACCTCAGGGGTATGATAGAAGTACCCTGGGTATCTTAAAGCCATAGGAGAGCTCAAATTCTGGTGTAAAGCCTTCAATTCAAAGAAACACAAAGGGGTGTGCCAGGGTCACTTTAGGTCTGCCGCTCCATTGTGTGGAGACGCGCCTGCTAGCAGAGGCTGAGGGCTAGGGCACAAGTTGAAGGGGGGTGACAAGCTCTCAAAACAATAAAGGAGAATTCAAGTGGATAGCAATGGGGTGTAGTAGAGGGCGAGGAAGGCCGGCCCCCCTCTTCGGAGTGAGCACGCCGGCGCACCGCTGGCTCACCGAGTCCCCTCCCAAGTGGCCTATCTTCATCCAGTGCCCAAACTAACCGAGTATCCTATATGCGAACACGGCAGAACCACGTGCAATATCTAAGTACATTTCACATGGAGAAGCGCTAAGACGGGGAAAAGGCCATTATTCAAATACAGGAGGGGCGGGCCACCCAGGCAGCAATTAATGAATGTCGTATGGCGGTTTTAGGATGTGTAAATGCCCCGGATATGCAATGAAGACTTAATGGATGCTCTTTTAAAAAAGAATATTCTCGACCAGGTTATTATCAGACTGGTGAACGAGGAAGAGTATACAGACGGGACAGTGGTCTAGGCCAGTATCCGCAGGTGCATTCATGATTTGCTCGAGGACAGAAAGTCACACTGGGTGAGACGACCGCAGTAAACTGCTACTTAAAATGCTTTGATGGACGGAGAATGTGCATAATGCTGCATTTGCACACACAGGTTCGAACTAGAGCTGATTCATTTCATTCTTTCGCTTTTTTGCCTGTTTAGTGGTCAGTCAGACTCTCTTTTCCATCAACCATCAAGCATTTAGTCTCTTCAGCACGCTCTGAGCCTCTAAAGAAGAGCATATCCCAAAGGGACGGCAAAAGTAGAGAGGCGGTAGAGGATGCTCCGAATGATCCTACATGCGCGGTAGGTCCGCCTGAAGACACCAGTTGTGCGTGGACATAGGCAGCAACAATGAGGTGCTCAACAGAGGGCAACACTAGTCACGAATAATGGAGGATGTTTAATACCGCATGAACAGCAAATTCGGCGGGAAAAGCAGGCTTCCTAGTGCTCCAGGACTTGAAGAAATATCTTTTCCAAACTAACGCAGGAGGGCACTCACTGACCCTCTGCAGTATGTTCACTGCTCAAGGCACTCCTCATCTATCTGGCTCTGGTGGCCCTATATTCGCTGCATCCCTGGTGACGTGAACTCACTATTATCTGTCCTTCGCGAACTCTGTCCAAAATGCGTTAGACCGAAATAGAAAACGCGTGGTAGGCTGACAGCCAATTACCTTGAGAGGGTGAGAGGTTTACGAGGTCCGTGAACTCTTCATGTGGCACTTCACTGTGTTCCGCTAGGCAAAGCAGAAGGTAGCCCCTGCTGAGCTTCCTTGTCTCTTTCTATCTCGCATACCTGTTAGCGCATATCTGATTTGAGGTACAGTGGAAAGCCACGTGCTTTCCTCCCTGTCTTTGCCCTACACTTAAGGGTTTTAGCTTTTCGTGTCGGTTGAAAGGTAGCACTGTCGTCCGAGTCTACTACCCTAAAAGTTTTCTGAAGTCCTATCGGGGAGACCACTAGATACGCATGTTCATTGAGATGGAAGAAATGACCCCATCTTCATAGCATTCCACCCATAGAGTTTGAGCTGCGCTTTACGACTAAGGCGCCTCCTAGAGTTATGGGCGAACGGTGCGCTATTGCATCTGCAAAGCCTCTTTCAGTGCATTGAGCAATCAGGCAAATAAAGGACAATCGTGTTCTAAACTCCCTTAGATATGCAATATTATTGGGCAGAATTTAAGTGAACTACCATAGTCGTAGTTCTAGCGCACGTAGATATTTGCCGCGAGCACGACCAACTCACGTTCGCCGCAGTCACACCTCCGTCCTGCAGACAAATCCTGTTCCCTCTTTGGGAAGGGAATAGAGTGATCTCAAATTAGAGCGCATCATGTAAAAGGCTCCCTGGCTAAGCACAGACGGTTTATTTGTCTGCCGGGTAGCCGCTGGAAGTTTTATTTTGGCTGTAGCGCTTACGGCGAAGTTCTTATTAGAGCGGTCAAGACCCTAACTACTGTTTTAAACGCATCAACCTAGTAAGTAAAAATGACGTGCAGTCATACGTCTTTAATATTCTCCTTTGGGTTCATAGAAAATGAGGTCCTCACTTGGGACCATTGTTGGACTCAGATGCTGCCGCCACTGTTTCGCTGTTCCGTAGCTTTGCACATTTCTTAGATCGGCTTTCCAAAGCATATTTTACATCTAGTGTACTTTGTCTACTGGGGAAATCTCTGCCATCAGATGGAAAGAGCTTCTGTATTCGGCTTCTCCCGACCTTTGGCGCTTTATTTGCGTATGAGGAGATTATCGACACAGGAACAAACCATAAGGGAGCTCTATTCGCTGTGTCCGCGACTGATGGCTCAGGAGGTGCAGACCTCAAACAGTATTTACTGCAGCCGCCGCGTGCTACCCTTTGGTTACAGAGATAGTTGCTGTATCCTGAATAACGACGGTCAACCGAGTGTATTCTTGAGATCAGTTTGGCCAGCCAAATCAGCTCTTTACCAGTATACATTAGAAGATCATAATTGTTTCCAGCGTAGAGGACCGTATCCGCTCCCGTCGAAGAGAACGCGCTGCATGTGACATCCCCGGACGGAGTGGAGCATCACACATGCACTCTTCTTGCCCAGAAAGCATGAGTGTTTACAGAATGCCCCTGTGCTCTCAGCGGGGAAACTTCAAAAGCAGAGTTCTGAAGACCTACATGCAGAGAAAGGGCCATCGAGTGTCTAGTCCTCTGGGGGGTCTCCGCGCCTTGCATGCTGCTAGATCAATGTGGTTTTTGAAGTACATAGCTTGCTCGGTCGTCACTCCTTTTCAAAGCACTCATTCAATTTACATAATTAAATATAGCGAGGCGCTCAAGGACTCGCTATCCGGCCAACTGCGCAGTCCTGCCACTGGACGTCCCCCGCCAATCAACAGAGGCAAGCGTTAAACTGGAGCATACATGGCCTTAGTCTTTATGTCTTTTTTAGAAGTGCTTTTCCGCTGATCTGGTTGCTTTCCCTTTCTGCAGCTACGGTGTAGAGTCGCTGACACGAATTACATGAATTACCTTGCCCCATCGTGTTGTGTCATCGGCGATTCCCCGCGAGCCACAGCTTCCACGTATAAAGCCCCCGTTTAAACCGCCAATAGGGGTACCATGGGGCGCATTTCCAGGGACCGGCGAGATATTTACTATAGAAGAGCCAAGGAGGAGGGCTTTCGTGCGCGGTCGGCTTACAAACTCTTGCAGCTTGACGATGAACTGCACTTCCTCTCTCCCCCCAAAATCGTCCGCTCTTACAGCAGTTCTGGGGACTCCTCTGGCTCCTCAGACGAGGAACCAGACAGTAATCGTTGCCACTGGCCCTCCTGCGTCGCTGAGACTGGCGAAGATACGTCGTCTGGAGAAGCCCCTCCATCTGCTGAAGCCACCAGCCACTCCGGTACGGATGCAGATCTAAAAGCTGCTATGGGACAATCGGTTTGGGATTACCCTCACCGAGCTGTGGACTTATGCGCGGCACCAGGCAGCTGGACGCAAGTCCTGCGGCGCCGCCTCTGGCAGAATTACGAACTCAAGCTGGCAGATTACAATAGTCAGCTGCAGCGGCAGCAACAACAAGGGCTAAAAAGAAGTTCCGGCGAGTCAACAGACTCCACAGCGTCAGGAAAATCCTCTAGTGCGGCTGGTTCAGGACATGCCCTATCAGCGGATGCGACTTCTTTGTCACCTCCTGACCCCCCAATGATTGTAGCCGTAGATTTGCAGGAGCTAGCACCAGTTCCCGGGGTCTTTATGCTGAAGGGGGATATCACTCATGCGTCTACTTCGGAGGCAATCCTTTCATTCTTCAAGCACCAGCCAGCTGACTTGGTGGTCTGCGACGGCGCACCCGACGTAACGGGCATGCGGGACATTGACGAGTTCATTCAAATGCAGCTGTTGTTAGCTGCACTGGGAACGGCTTCCCAGGTTCTCCGCCCTGGAGGTACTTTTGTGTGCAAAATATTCAGGGGGGAGCAAGCGGCTCTGTTGTACATGCAGCTAATGGCGCTGTTTGCTGATGTGCGTTGCTGCAAGCCCGCTGCATCCAGGAGCAGCAGCGTCGAGGCCTTTGTAGTTTGTCGAGGTTTCTCTCCAGACCTCAAGTCCCTCTCCTCCATCTCACGTATCAGTGAGAGGAAGGAAGGAGAAGCGCTAGAAGGTGAGGACTCTGACAAAGTGGAGATGCGGCAAGCGACAATGCCAGAATCCCATTGCACTACGGCCAGGAAGGAGAAAGATATTGACGATTTGTGGGGAGAGCAAGTGATCGGTCAGCTTGTACCGTTTTTAAGCTGCGGTGATATAAGGTACATGGACGCGGATCGCAATTACAACCTTTCAAAGTGTGCATATACCCCAAAGCCGCCGACTCAGTCTCCAACACACCCTGCTTACGAGCTGGCGGTTCTAAGAAAGAAGGGACTTCTCTCTCCTTGACCATATATTAGCGTCATTCTAATATACTGTTGCCGATTTGCTGCTTATACTTTCGCTAAAATAGGTTTGCACGTTGTGGGGCACTTTATTGAGAAAAAGACAAGTGGCTCCTCGGTTTTCTTGGGGGGTCTCTGCCGGCTGTTTTCTGCGGCCGACCCCGACTTTTTTTCAATGCTCTTATATCTGTGAGGACGCGAGCCTTTGACTCGCGTCTCCCTTGCTCGGCTGGACAAGCATGGCCATCCACGCGAACTGACTGCCAGAGCAGCGCCCGACTGCCATGCTAAACCGAAGGAGCTGTAAGGTACTTTTATGCACGCGTTGTTTTGTAGCCATGCCAAATAGGTACACTGCATGTGCACTTCGTGACCTGAAGATAGAGGCGCCGACATACCTATGCTTCTCACGAGCACTGAGGGTCATCAGATCCTTGAACTGCTACTGTAGCGAACTCCTCGAGGCTCAAGTGCCGCTCTTCTCCGTGCAGTGGATCAGCTTTTGAACCTTGAGAAGTTATCATCAGCATATCATGTGAACAATCGATCTGCACATTAATGCATGGACCTCTGATGGGTCCATGCCTGCGTCATCCAGCCACATGCGCCCTCCCCAACCTCTCCTGTGGAAGAAAAGGGAGGGTTAGCTGAACAAAGGGGGCCTCGAGGGAGCCCAAGCAACTGTCTTTCGCTCCACCACGCGTGAACAATATACACTGCAATGGCAGAGTGGCCAGCGGCATCCTTCATTTTCGTGCTTTGGGATGAATTTACATTCACATGTAAATACGGGTATATATATCCTGTCTACTGTGGATGGATGAAAAAAATTCCCAAAGTTCTTCTTTCCAGGAAATGCATGGAAAAGCTTTGACAGTCCTTATACAGATTATGCAGAAGGGGAAGACTAGTGGCTCCCGCGCAGAAATGTTCGCAGCTTCGCCGTATTGTTCCTGGTGGAGGAGTCCTTGTAAGGAGGCAAGAGTGGTGGATAGCACCGTGACGCTACAGAGCCATTCTTCCTTCTCTAAGATGTCATTCGTTTCTTTCCAGAGTCTCCCCAATACCTCACAATTTTTGATAACTCCTACGCTACCAAGCAATTAAGGAGGTGGGCACTTTCGCTAGCGGGTGTGCTTGTTGCTTCCTCCGACCGCATCGCAAAAAGCCTAGTAAAGCAACTTGTTCATACGCTTTATATAATGGCTGGGCGTGCTAGGGACTCTGGCTCGTATGGCTCAAGGACATTTGCCTATATAAGGCCCCGTGTACTAACCAAAATGTCAAGCGTCTCATCTGAGAACTCCGTAGAGAGACACCGAACTCCAGACACAATGGGAAGTCAGTGGAAAGCTGGTGAAGGCTTCGAAAAACACGCGTCTTCCTGCTAAGATTCCACATATTTTCGGCATGAGGAGAGAAGGGTACCTAGGGTGCGCATAGCTGCACCCTCTATGCGCACTTTTCGAAGATGCATAGCTAGTCGCACATTGCATTTGGCACACACGGACACAACCTTGCGTCTTTTGCAACGAGCTACAACTACTCTACGGTAAACAGGATAGTTAAATAATCCAATGGAGTAATTGCTAGTTCTTAGCTAAGTATAAATAGTCTCCTCAAAACTTTTGAGATGTATCGTAGCTCACTGCATCAGCTGTATTAAGCACGCAAGGACAGTGACCTCGTTCACGGGAACACAGGCACTTTACAGGAATGAGTGAACTTCTGCTGTTACTTCAGAGTGAGAGTTGTTGCACTTTCACACGATTTCTTGCTCCTTTTAAGCCCTAGTGGCTTGCTAGCATGAAGCCACGATGCACAAATGCCAAGCCTTAGTGGCTCTGGTAGTGCTTCGTGCTCAATGCTATCGTAGCATAGCAAATAGTTCATATCGCATGCAATTTTCGCAGCTATTCTTCCACGTGATAATCAATCAAAGGTCTTAGAGGTGGGGTATTTTAGAGCTCCTGACGCCGCTCAACCAGGACGCAGGAAATGTGGGGTGCGCCGACGAGGGAAAAGCGCCGATAATACGCATGTACACCTCTCCTTCTGCGGTGTTTGCCTTCATTCTTGAAAAAAGTGGTGCCTGCAAGTCCTTCTGAACAGCATTAAGCATACAGGTGAGCACGGTCAATGGGACTGCATCAAAATGGATTTGAGGGCAGCGAACATCCGAGGGCCCGCCGCTCCTGCATTGGGTGCTGCCTGGGCAGTGCTCGGCCCTCACGTACCCCCCTCCCTCGCAAAACGCGCCTCTTCCGCCATCTTGAAGCCTTCTGCCTCGATATTACTTACTGGAGTTGCGCGTGTGTTGCTGCCAATGGTTCTTATTGGACTCTCTGGCCTTCTTCCTCCTTGTGCGCATGTACTTTTAATCCAGGCCTTCGCTCAGTCCCCTCAGCTTGCAGTATCTCGTTCATGCAGGGAAGCACTCTCTTAAAGGTTTCTGGGGCATTCCGCTCCATTCAATTCTGCTGTTGCTGGTTTTGAACATTTTTTGACACAGCCTGAGGCGTAACGCGGGGGTGCCGCAATTGTCCCTTAGAGTGGAGCCCCTAATTCGAGGCAGTCGCCTTCCTCCACCCAAATGCCCTTGGTACACCCCCCACAAGGCCTTCTCGTAAGCTTTGACAAGGTCTGAGCGTCCAGCACCTCCTCGCCACGCTGTTCGCCCCCGCCAAAAGCCGCGCTGTCGTTCCACTCGCCATCGCTCCTGTCCAGAATTCGCTGCGTTGGCAATAAGGGAGGAGACTTATCGGTAGGACTGTTGCCCCTTGCTGTATTATACGTTCCTGTGCAACCGGACATGCCCTAGAGCATGTGCTGGAAGCGACAGAGCAACGTCATCGAGGCACTTTTCCCCCTCCCTAGCAGCCTCCTCATGAGGACCCCATCATGGTGATGATGTCCTTTCTGTCGCATTCTCAGGCTCTCTCTCTATACTCCATGAAAAGCCTCGGGCAGGGCTGATTCGGTAGCGACGCATCCAACAACGAAAGCACAATGAACAGCAGTGCAACGCCTCCTCCACCTCCTCCCGGCCTTGGTGACCCTACTGGACTGCGTCCTTCCCATGCTTCCCAAGTAGCTTCTCCTTCCTCCTTCGATGCAGTACAACTTGCATCCTTTTTACCAAGCGACATTGCGTCGGCGACAGCGCTGCTGCAACATTACCGTCTAGAGCTGCAGCAGCAGCAGCAGAACTCTTCTGCTACCCTCTCTTCTCTGCCCTTTCCGCCGAGCTCAAGGTCCGGCTTGCAGTCAGGGTGTGGACGGGATCTGTCTGCTCCTGAGGAGGTAGCTTCGGAGGGTGCAGGGCTAATTGACGCCGAGCTGGAGGCGCAGATACTCGCCGAGATCGCATCGGCTGCTTGCTTCAACAACAAGATCGATCTCTCTCTCCTTTCGTTTAAACAGAGACTGGCATTCGTAAGTGTGCGCAGGAGCCGCCTAAAGGGGCTTGGGATATGTGGGCAGACAGCCGCAGCAGCGGACAGGGAATCCGGGGGGCACAGTCTTCATCTGGTGCGCAGAAAAATCGTCATGCTGAGTCCGTCGTTGCATTGGTTGGGGGCTGTTCCTACGTGTAGAGTAGCAGGGCTGCTTCGAAGAGCTTCCGAGATGGCTGCTTTCAGTGCAACGAGCTGGTGCTCAATGGATTTGTTTGTACAGGCCGACTTGCTACGGTACAAGCAGTGCCAGCTGCAGCAGTTGTCGCAGCATGCCGGCGTGCTGCTGCAGGATATCGAGAAACACAGAGACGGATACCTGGACACCGGTCGGCTTTTTGTGCTCTTTCCAAATGCAAAATCAGCACTTTGCCGAAAAGCTAACGGTGTTGGTTCTGGGCGCTCGGCGTCAGGAAGCCATATCGCCGTTCCTTCTTCGCATGTGCCCTGGCTTAGCGCTTTCGACGTGAGATACATCGCTAGCTGCACGGAGCTCTCTGCGGGCTTCTTCGCACTGCTGGATCGAGTATAAGTGTCGCCTTTTTGCAAAATACAGCTGCAGCCGACGAAGGCCGCCCTTCCCTGCTCTGTGGGCTGTTCTGGTGACGCGCATCTCCAGTTGCGAGCCTTAACACCGCGTCCATGCTCTGCATGTGTGTAGTCGCTCTGTGTTTCACTCTGCAGTCCATTTCCGATGGCAGTGCCCCTCCACACACTCCGGGGGGTAGTTCTTCGCGCGTTGGCGCGCCTGGGAGTAGGAGCAGCCCTAGCGCTACTACTGCAGCGTGTCTAGCAGCTGCCGCAGCCGCTGCTGCGGCGGAGCAGGAACACGAGGAAGAGGAGAATGGAATTCTCCCCCACGTCTCCCAGCCCTTCATTAGGAGCACCACACGGTCGAGGACGACGCCTGCACTCCGGCGGCCTCCGGATATGTGGATGGAGGTGAGGATCTCCTAGGGGCGAAATCCTGTGCTGAGGAGCGTGTAGCTTGTGGAATAGCGAAAACACTCGGCGAGTGCGGTTGAAACAGAAGGCCAGAGAGCCGAGCTAGCGCTGCATCTGTTTGATTCCCCCTTTGCGAATTCTTGCCGTATGGCAAGACCCCGCAAAGGAGGAGCGCCACGGTGACTCAGGGGTAGTAGATACTGCAGAAAAGACGCATCATGAAGAGATGTGCCTTTTTGTTCCTGGTGATTTGTCGGCGCAAAAGAGGGAGGCGCTTGGGCACACTTTTGCGTGGCTCTTGTGGTTGTCGCCCTGCATAGTGCAAGGATGCATATACGTAGATGTATAAACACGTGTACATGTATGCGTGTGTTGTGTTTGAACACGCTTGATTGTGAGGTGTTGATGTCGGTGACCGTGTCCTTGTTGGCCTGGCACGCCTGCTACCCTTTTTGTCTGCCTGCGTGCGCCCGTTGTACTCGGAACTCTCTAAGTACATGCATGGAAACATCAGGAAGAACGGGGTCGGTGGAGGAAGAGATGCATGCGCATTGAGGGTTTGCATGTGCATTTCCTGCAGAAGGCATGTGGAGAGCACGAGACATACGGTACTTTGCCAGAGGGAGATTTGTTTAAGCGCTGCTTCAGCGGGAGTTCCTCGCTGGCGGATGCTACGGCAACAACCGCTGCGGAAACTCCGGCGGGTAACATGGAGGACCGTGTTAGGGAAGCAAGCGAAGGCAATGTCTCCGCTCTTTCCGGAGATTTCGCGTTGCTGCATGCACAGTCTAATAAGGGCACACACACACCACAAAAGTCGGTAACGGGGGCGGAGGAGCAGGAAGAAGGCAGCACAAGGCCCCATGGGACTATAGAGTCGCCGCCCTTCTTTCAGCGCAACATGCGGAGGACCACGACTATGCCGAATGACAGGATGACAGGCAAGGTGCTGATGCTGAACCATGCGCATCGAGAGGCAGTGCAAGCCTCTGGGGTAGGCAGTCATCCAGATTTTTCGGCCAATCCAAATTCCGACACACCGGGAACGTGGGCTTCAACACCCAGCGGCAGGAATGGCCGCTGCGTTAGAATAGACACTAGCGCCCTCGCCGCTGCCCGCCAGGATTTTAGTAACCTGAACTCAGGTAACAACGCGATGGCGGCTCTGTTGGGGGATATAAAGCTGTTGCAAGAAGCCTCAGCATCAGTACAGGCTGCAACGCGCAGCCCTCAACCTGGCGACCCCAACGCCTTCTTCCAAAGAAGTAACAGGCGCACCACGACGCTGCCGGGAACTATGGCAAATGTTAAGATTCGTGCAAGTGAGCAGTAGCCAAGGAATGCAGTCCATAAATGCGTGCTGTATACTCATTATTACTCCATGCTGCTGATCCTAAGAAACTTGCAAGCCCCTCTGCAGTGTGCAAGATATGCGTGTTTTCGTCTCCCACTAACTCAGCCGACGTACAGCGAGTACTGCACACCAAAGGCCGCTGCAAGCCGTGTGCTTTCTATTACAATAAACGAAAGGGATGCAGAAACGGTGCAGAGTGCGAATTCTGCCATCACGAAGAACACTCCAAGCTGACGCTGAAGCAATGGAAAAAACACCAACAGCGCGCCCACAGAAGTGTAAGGCTGCCCCACTGACATCCTCGACGTGGCATGCTGCATGCGAGCTGATTATTCAACTAGCGCCGGTAGTTTGCAAAGTTTCCAACTGAGTGTCACATTTTCATCACGTGTTACTGGGTGTGTTAGCCTCAACGTTGTCTGCATTTTGTGGACATGCTTGTCTAACTCAGAGGCTACTGGAGGAGTGTGAAGGTACAGAAGCCAGCTCAATAGATTTCCAATCGTCTGGCGTCCTGATCGAGCAGAATGATGCGTCAGTTATCCCAGCCTTTACAACAGGTCACATTGTAACCCCTGCATCTGAAGTACAACATTCGATGATCTCTGGGCCGTTCGGACTCAACACGGCAGCACTTACGGCGGAGTCCCTTGCACATGTAAGGGAGAAGCTTGCAGGTTAGCTTCGCACTCGTGCTTCCGCGATATCGGATACTTTATGGGAGAAGTCTTCAGGTTGGGTGCCAGGCAGTTCTTTAGTTTACCGCCTAGTAGAGATCGGTCTACCATCATGCGGCACTAATAGCACTAGACATCGGCGACGGGATTTTAGGCTCTGATCTTTATTGATGTAATCTAGACTACACTTACGTGTGTACGGTTGTTTCGCCGCAGAACTGACCAGCGCAAGCGAGGCGACACTACCCACTGGGGGCTGAGTGTCTTCTAGGCCGTTCTTGCGGCTAGAACAATAACGGGCCAGCTATTTAGCTACCACTGAGGGTTAGCTTGGTGCAACAGGTTTATCGCCGCTAGTTGGTGTGATTATGTGTGCCTGATCTCGGCAGTGTTACCGGTAATTAACGGCTTTGCGCAACGTGGCTTGGCGCGGCCCCGTGTGCGGGCTACCGACAAGGCGACACGAACTCTTTCCCTTGTGGGAAAGCCGCATGAATGTCCTCTTTGTGGATTTATGTGTTTTATGCTGTTCTCGCCCGTCGGAAAACGTGCTCCATCCGTGAGCGATGTAAGGCTCTCTGGTGTTGACAAGGAGGGCCGAGTTGGCGTATTTCACTATGCGCCCGCCCGCAAGTTCGCATACCTCTTGGAGGGAGGGCGGCCGATTAATTTGTTTTGCTGTTGTATGTAATGTGTTTCAGGGTCGGCGCACCGTACTGCTACAGTTGGTGCCTCGTCACCTCGCGTTGTGTTAAGAGGAGCAGTACCGCCAGCTTTCGAAGCCGGCCAAGGGCTTCCTTCATGTCTGCTGGTTTACACAGCTCCATATGTATACGGCACGGCAAAACACCGTACTTGATAAATGTGTCCCTGGTTGGTGCCTTGGGCCGCCGTAAGCATGCGGTGCAGATTGTGCCCGTCCCGAACTGCGTCGCACTTGAATTCTCAAGGACGGCGCGCGTAGCTACCCAACAACAATTATAGTTCGGTGCGTCGTACTCACTTATATGCGGTCATGGTTATCATCATCGCAGTTCCTTTTCGGGCACAGCCCACAGTCCTGTTGTAAGCACAAGTCCGTCACGTGGCTGGCACACACCATTCGTACCATAATAAGCTTATGCGTGGCAAGTTCTTCCAGCTGAGCGCCGACTTACCGCGCATCCGTCGAATCGCGGTGCATGTAAGGCGGCTGAACAGCTATAAGGGACGTGATCGCGTTCCTTATGACCAGCTGGGAGAGTGCGAAGTACAGTGAGTGACTAGCACTACTTGCCGTAAATGGCCGATTGGAAACTCGATGCGAAGTCTAGGGATATGTTCTGTATTTGGTTTCTTTCATGCCCTAAGATTCAGGCTTCGTTGGTAAAATTACATCTTCTGTCGTGGCTACGGGAAGTTGCTCAGATTGGGAGTGCCCATTGAAACGCGGTTGGCAGAAGCTATGGGTAATGACGGCTCTTTGAAGACGAGAGCATGAGTTTGCTGTTAGTATGTTTGCATAATTGAACCGCCACTGAGAACCTATTCAGAGTCGCTTGCGAACTGAATAGAGTTGACGGTCATGGGGATTTCTCCGCAACCCTTCCATGTTGCTTTCTTCTTCTTGTTCTTTTCGTGGCGGAAATCCTTTCCCCTAACCTGAATCGGAAAGGAAACACCAGTTTCGGCATTTTAAGTACTGTTGCACCAACGGCTACTTGTTCTACAGCAGAAGATAGTGTAATCATAGTTTTGAACCTACACGCCCCAGCTGTTCTGCTGCCTTAACAGCAAAGTTGTCGCTTTTCTTCTTCCAGAAGGAGTTGTCCTTTAGTTCTGTAGGTAGCGCGGAGGTCCACTGAGAATCATCGATTCTTTGAAAGCGCTTTGGACCTATTCATACGAACAGAGCCGTCAGTACACGGATTCACCGTAATGCGCTGAAGCCTACAGCAGTTAAAACCCAGCCCTAGTCGAGTACGAAGTGATAGCAATCAGCTACAGACAAAGGGGAAATACACTTGCCTCCATTATCGCATTTCTTTTGATTTTCTTGTGTACATTCATGTGTTTCGTGCTGCTCTTCAGTATTTTCGTTTACTAGGACATGCTTACGAGCCTTCTTGCTGATGCGGCCCACTGCACTTGCATCCTCATCGGGCGTGGTACACAGCGCCCCTGCCTCAGGTGTCTCCTTCTCATGCTCGGAACGGCACTTCTTTTTGGGCTGTTTTTCTTCCTTAATAGTTGGGACTTTTAACTTCCGCGACTTCTTTCCCTCAGGAGGAGGACCTGAATGCCGGCGGGCAAAGGCAGAAATTCACAGGCGTCTTGTGAGCTTCCCATATCTGGTGGACAAACCAGAATGAATGGCCCCCGCAGGCATAAAAGTTTGTACTGTCATGATCAACGTCTTGGATAGCTTACCTTTCACCTCTTCACCCAAATTCTGCGTTTCTCTAGCCTCGCAGATCTCGAGCAAATCGACTAGTTCACCTCCGCTGGCCACCGATTCCAGGTCCCATTCCTAAAGCGAAAAACCCTAACCACGACGCTTTACTTCACACAAATATCAAGGTAAGGACTGTAACGGGCATTCGTGCTACCTACAATGGCGCCATCTGGCTTTCGACGCAAAACATGGGATTGAATGATTTTCATACCCGCCTCGCCGCCTCCTTTAAAAGGGCTCTTGCCGTCTTCGGCAGCTCCTGTTGCTCTAAGAATTTGTAGATGGCAGCGGCGACCTTAATTTGTAGAGCATCTTCCTTCATCTTTTTAAAAACAATAATTCAGCGCCGTAACCAGCGTGCAACGGGCGTTGGCATGCAGCGGTACGAGACTAGATGCCGAAAAATAGCACAGCGAGAGTACAAAATTCTCCCTTCTAACGCTCAAATTAGTTTTTGAGGAAGATCAGGAAGACAATCAGTGAAAGAGCTCGACCCGGAGCAAAGCGAAATCTTGGGATGTACAGCAACCGAACTGCTGCTTCAAAACAAAAGCAAACAGCCCCATATGAGCAATAGCGATTTTATTAGGAAGAATACTTAGCAAGCTTTAGAGGTGAAAGAAGAGAAACTACGAACGGGATCCTACAGGCACTAGGGCCGCTCGCCCCGCACTTTGGGGCCTGTTCGAGCATCGGGGGCCCTTTTAGTAGAGCGCTAGAACATGTGGACATCTTGAGTAAATTACTTCTTCATGTGAAAGGAGCCACTATAGCGCCTAATGTCACCGCGTTCCTATGGTGAGCGTTGCTATTTTCTAAATCTGCCCTCTTTTAAGGGCTTCCTGATTAATACTAGAACGGGTAGAACAGTGCAGATCAGACAGTAGCCCCTTTATCATAGCCGAGCTAAATAGACAAGTACATGAATCAAAGCTCACTCTTTTGCTTCTTGCTCAATGCTACAGCATGCACTTTTCGAAGTAGTGCCCACGCGCGAACTAGACAGCAAGCTTCAGATTAAGTGTATCGGACCAAGTTGGACCTAGGAGGCTTGTTCTGCAAGGAGCTATATATATTAGTAGCCGAAATATTGCCTGCATAATTGGCCTGTTGGCGGAGTAGCGTGGATGCTATGATAGTGCATGCTATTTGGCTGCGCGCCAAGTTCTGGTATGACCGCGTAAGCTTTTCTGGAAAGTATTATCATACCTAATTATGCATTTGTGAAGAATCTACTCTCTTGTGTGTATTTGTATACCCTGTCTGTTGAAGAGTACGGCCAGCTCGATACAACAAGCCGAAGTATTGTGTGCAGATGCGCTAGATGTCATACGTAGCTAGTTGCAATCCCTCGGGGAACAAAAGGGGAGCACCTGAGCACTCTAGTGCTCCTTCTCCTTTCATGTGGGGAACTCTAAGGGGTGCATGCAGGGGCTGTATAGAGGTCTTTTGAAAAGGACATTGCAATAACTTTCTATTGAGTTTGCATCGATCATGGAGTCAAGTGTTACCCTCCACAGACCCTATTTGAAACGTTGCACAACGTAGGGCTAGATGAATGGCATAGGTATGGATGCATTGTTTTTGGCTATAACTTAACATGTGCAACTCTCGAAGAGTACCTTTGAATCCTCCGTGAGTGGAAGTACGTGCACCTCGTATTCCCTTCATTCCCTCATGACTCCACCCTGTGGGAGAAGCGGACTCGATAGGTACGTCTACTGTTACAGAAAAAAGTCTATTAGGCTCAAGTTTCGGTCGGGTTGCGAAGGCAAAGGTTAAAATTGTGGAAACTCTTTGGGTCATGCTACGCTTTAAACCTATCAAGTTGAACTTTTTATTCCACCTTCAGGACTTTGTTGGGAAGCTGTTGACTCCCGAGACATGCAAACTCAAAAGAAATCAATTAAATTTACTTGTTCAGAAGACCTCTATACAACCCCTGCCTGTACCCCTCAGAGTTCCCCACATGAGAGGAGGAGTGCTAGGGTGTGTCAGGTGCGACCTCAAGGCACTCCGAGGAAGCGCAATTAGTTTCGCATGACATCTAGCGCATCTGCACGCAGTATTGCGTCTTGTTGTATCAAGCTAGCGTCATCATTCAAGAAAGATAATGTACAGAAAAACAAACAAAGTAATCAGTTCCTGAATTACTCTTCGTAAAGTATAACGAGTGTCGTGGAGAGTGCTTAAGTGCAGCTTAGCTTGCTTCATCCGCCAGCACGGCTTTGCCTCTCCCAACACTGCTGTTCTTCATATTTTGGCAGCAAGAGCTAGTAGTAACGGGGACGCTCGGATCAACTGTGGTATATAGATGTACGCAGCTGGCCTTAAAAGGAGAATGACATGGCCTCCATCAGACTCTGTGGAGATGCGCGGCGTAATGCGAGTTTGCAGGCGTCACGACGAATTAGAAAAGCGGATGGAAAAATTGACAGACGCCGATGTTCGCCGAATGCGCTATCGGAGCTGCAGCGCTTGTGGTGAAGTCTCGGTCATGGCGTACTGGGTACTATGGCATGGTATGTTCCATGTGCGTGGATCGCACATATTGTGTCAATTTTTACGGACTACCTATCACCTATACGCATAAACCACCCATGAAGTGCATTTCCTTACATTCTATATACGGAGTTCCTGCCCCCAGCCCATGGCAATGTGCCTCGGCGGTGGGCCCGCCACCGATGGTTGACTGGCGTTCTCACAAATGCTTGTAGCCGTTTCCACAAGTACATTTCTTCTGTTGTGATTGATGAAACCTACAAACCAATTTAATCCCCGCCGTGCATGCCACTCTTGGTGAACCTGTAGTAGTGCCCAGCACTTTATTCGGGGCTTTTGAGTGTATGACAGCACACTGGGCGGTATTGTGGGTTTTTGCTCTTTAGCATTGGATTAGATTTATGGCAAGTTTCCCGACGTACTGGATGGTATCTTGAATGCCGGACAAGGATGCAAGCGCGTTTTATGCTCCCGGCCGCAGCACGTCCCTTACGCAAGGCGCTGCAGGTCTCTGGAACCTCTTTTACTTTGAGTAGTAGCGCAATCCCTGGCCGTTATGGTGCTTTCTCGTCTCAGCTCGAGCGCCCCCGCTTCCAGTCCACGGCGACGCAGCGCGTCGAGTCCTCAGACGGAGGAGATGCCATCAGCATTCGCCCTTGGGAAAAACCATTAATTGCCGAGGTGTACAGTCAGCTGCGGGGTCAGCATATTCCATCCCGCACCTCGCAAACACCGAGATCAGTTCCAGGCGCGGCCTCGGAGGGGGGGAGAGCTGAGCCTACCCCGCTGCCTGGTTGGGATTTCTCCCCAGAGGATGAGAGGGGCCTCCGCTTTGGCGCTGCCTACATGCTCTTGACGCTGGCGTGGAACCGCAAATTTACTCGCCTTAGGGACTTGCTGGTGAATGCAAATCGGGCGAGAGAAGGTTCTAAGCAGGTCGTATCTCGGGTGCTCTCAACGGTGCGTGTCAGCACAGAGTCCGTGACCCTCTTTACTGGTGTTGCCACTGTCTCGTTCGCCCCAGAAGGAGTGGTATCCGTATGTGATGTGCTGTCCAATCCGTGGTCGTGCTTCCTGTGTGCAGATTGCAGCTGACCTTTCACCTTCGGGGAAGCTGCAGAGTGCGTCGGACTCTCCCGCTGAGGGCTGCAGAAGCGGCAAGGGAAAGTGCAAGGAGAGTCCTTCCGAAAAGTCGGGGGGGGATGCATCCACCAGCAGCAGTTATGGCCACGTAGCGCCAGAAAATATTCTTTCAGGGCTTCATGGCTGCTGCAGTCCGCAGCTGCAGCAGCTGTTGCAGCACCAAGTGGCCTTTCTCGCTCAGCGTGGCCTCGGCGTTCATTCTGTCGTTCGGCCGCAGCGAGTCGTAGTTGACGCTGTATATGGCATCGTTGGTATGCAATCACTCTTTAACTGTGTGCCCAGGCTGAATCCCCTAGTGGGTGGATGTGAATAAGCGGGGCCTTGAAGTGACGTTCGCTGCAGCGGGAGGTGCGACCGCTTATTGGTCCAAGTGGTACCATTTGCATTCTTTGGGCACTGCGTAGCTGTACATACAGGGCTGCACGCATGCTCTTGGCGCATGCCTGGCACGGAGGCTTCTGCGGGGAGATGTAGGCCTCTGCTAGCATGCGGTTCCTTATTTGCGACTCTGGTGTTGTCTGGGCAGGCTGCACCCGAGGATCGAACGCAACCTCAACAGTGTTGTTGCAACACGGCTCTTTGCATGTGCTGCTGCGTCGTGGCACAAACAGCAGCAGCAGCAGCAGCCTGGGCACACCGGCGACGCTGTACATGCCGAAGCCACGTTCATTTGACTTTGAGGGGGCAGTAGCGGCCGCAGAGGCAGCCACAGACGCGTCGGAGCATCCAAGGATGACTGAAAAGCCTAGGGAGGACGAAGGAGAAGGGCGAGGGGAAATGACGGAAGCCGGAAAGAGGGCCTCCTCAGAGGAGTCTCTGACCCCAGTAGAGCGAAGGCAGCAGCAGATGGCCACAGAGGGCCTCTGGAGAAAGCGCGCGAGGGAGCAGATGCATGACATCCTCAAGCAGCCGCTTACATTCAGGCGTAAGACACAATGCTCAAGCTAGTCAGAAAAGCCACTTACGATTGTATCCTGCTGGAGCATGGGTTGTTCGGTTGGTCAGTTCGTTTTATGTTTCAGTGGCTTGCTATTATTATGGCATTCCTCGTACGAAACTCTCATGTACAGCGATTCGAAATAAGGGGAAAGCATTGAGCGAATGAGGGGCGGCAGAAACCTTACTCTGCTGATAGACTTTGCGCGTTGTCCCTTATGGCATTCTTGCAACAGAAGGCGTAGACACATGTGCACACTGCCAGAGTGTTGTTAATTTTGCCTGCTTTGGTTCCTATGCAGAGTTTATGAACATGTGCGCCGACTGCGGCACCGTACTGGACCGGGGTTTTGTGGTGGCCATAGACTTCAAGTTGCTCTGCGTACAGCAGCTCGCCATCGTCGATGCAGACGGCAATGTAGGCTTCATCTGATGCTTCCCCAAGCTCGCCGCTCATCTACTTCGTGGAAAAGTGCTTTGCGTTGGTCGGAAAACGCTTTTCCGGGAGTGCAAGGAGGCTTTGCGTGATGGTCCACCACCTGTGCGCGCATTTCCACACCCATGGTGCTACAAAAGCAGAATTCAGCTGCTGCGATTCTCTGCATTTGCGCAGATTGTGATGGGTTCTGAAGAAGATGAAGCGGCTGTTCACACACTGAGACTCGAACTTAACGCAAAGTTCGACCCAAACAATTCGTAAGGCAGGCGTACATGGGCTTCTAGACAGCCAGCCATGCAGAGCCCAATAGCGGTCACCATGCTACTTGTCTGATATTTGTGCAGTAGGATTTTCCGATACATGTATCGCACAGCCTACACAATTTTAGCGGGAGCTGTCTTGAACATTCGCAATGATTGATGCACGTGGACCCTGGCGGCGCTGCATGCAGGAACTTTATCTTTCCCGCCTTTGAACCAAGTGGCTGGCAACTCATGGACTGGAATTATGCCGTTGGGCCTCAGTACCCGGTAGACCCTCGGGAGATATCCAATGTCGTTTTCCGTGAGTGATGTATGGAAATTCACACCTCTTCGTATCCGGATGTCCCTACAAAATCTCCCCCAGACTTGTATAGATGTTCGCAACCCTATCGTTACCGGTTTTACGCAGACGTGGACGTGAAAGGTAGAGGAGAAACCCCCCCGTGCCCACACGTTTTTGCTGTCCCCTGTTTGTATATGGACGCGATGTTTCTTTGTTGATTTCGTGCTCGACTACAAATCTTCCAACAGATTGGAGTATATGTTTTCAGTTGTATGCGGAGAGCGTATTTTTTGGTGTTGCTTGTGCTTGCAGTGGACGAAGACAAAGGAGTTCCCAACAACGTATCCGCGTGTTTTATCTGATTCCCCTTTTTTGGCCTCAGGAGAGGTAGTGCTGCTCAGCACTTGAATCTTGTTTGCTTGTAATGAAAATTTTCCTAGGTTTGCATATTACATTAGACGTGTGAATTGTAATGTCACGATACACGCGAAGAGCAGGGCCTTGCAGATTAGGGGTTTCCGAAATAGGCACATCCAGAATACAGACTCTCGTTAAGTCAGGCAGTATAGCTGCTCCTCGAAGTTTCTTGCACCTTGTGTCATCTCAGAATCTTGGGAATTTATCCCATTGCCAGGGGTACAAGAAAATGCCATAGAAATAGGGGGATTCGCTACAATGCTTGGTATAAATAGGCGAATTTATCTCTCAGTATCTTACTAAGTATGTCTTCTGTATGCGGAGCAGTCAAGCTTACAAACACCACCATAACGGGTCGAAGTACCAGTGTATCAGCATGAAATACTAAACTTGCCTCGCTACTAGTCCAGCTGCGGGTGAATGCAACCCGGTGTATTTGCTCCTTCAAGTTAAAGAGTATTTAAATATATGCTGAACGCGTGATGGCAAAATAGAATCGCATTGGAGGACGACAGGCAGCTGCTTCCTGAGGGCATGTCGCCCAGTATAGTTAGTGACGTACTGGATAACTTGAGCGTAATTAGCTTAAATTATTCAGTACAGCGTTGGCTTGATCAAAGCATAATAGCTGCGAATTTCTTTATATGCGGGTACTCGCAATCAAATTTTTGGAATTATGAATGTACTTACTTGCTTCTCGTGCACTCCGTGCACGACAGGCAGTGTTAGATCTGTGCTTGAGGTCCAACAATTTGAATCAAAACTAGTGACATTTTGTGTTTTTGTAAAGCATTGTCTACCCATCAATAGATCTCCCCTCTCATTCGTGCTGTTTTGGGATGCTGTACTCCGGAGGCCATCCACGAGGCTCCCCATGGAACCTGTGCCAAATGGAGAAAACGTGCATCCTTTAATTTATACTAACTATCTTCTCTCTGAGTTTTGGAAGAGAGATCTGTACTCTCTTGTATTCTTTGCACTAGGAGAAGAATTATTCAGCTTTCCACTTTCCACTGCATGCACACCTCGAGCCTCCACAGAGCCCCTCAACTGGGGGATGCATCGTTTGCATCTTGTTTACCTTCGAGAAAACCTTTTTGGCACGAACTGTGCATATTCTTAACATTTTAGGGCTCCCTATGAAGTATCTCGACTATCTCCACCCTTGGAGCTGACAGCCAGAGGGCGCGGCCGACTCTCGCCTCTTTGGCTGTTTCTGGCTCCTACTTGAATTCAAATACCTTGTATTAAGGTACTTCATCTTAGTCCTTGATTCCCGAGCTTTATTTCTGCTGATTTCTCCCTGCTCCAGTACAACAACACACACCAGCTCCTCCCGAGCTACTGCTATTCCCGGGGGCCTGATTTGTCTTCTTTTCTGCCAGGCTCCCCCTCTTCGCCTCTCCCTCTCCCCTTCTTAAGAACAGATGGAGGCCCGCGTAGCTGAGCTTACGGCAGCAGTTGATGCGGGCGATCTTCGCCAGGCAATTCGCCTCGCTAACCAGTTTCTGCTAAGGACTCAGAAACACATCCACAGCAATCCCGCAGAACAGCTTCACCACCAGCAAATTATCAAAAGCATTAAAGTTATCATCCTCACGCGACAAGGTGCGAACGCATAGCCCCTCAGTTGATTTCATTACCCCCTCCTCGTGCCGTATCTCCTTTTTCAGCGCAGGCATTTCTGCTCCCCCATAGGACAAGTTGTACCATGATACGCACAAACTTCCTTAGCCATTAGTGCTAATCTAAGCTTCAACACAGCATAAAAGTGCCTTTGATCAGGAACGGCCTTGTTTGAGGCCCAACAGTCCTATGCATAGTGAGAGGAAGAGACAGAGAGAGCGCGTGCCGAGAGTCCAGGAGGCAGCCGCCTCCTGCTGCTTTCCAGATGAGCTGAACCTGAACTCTAACGGAAGCAACGCATTTTATCCCCCACTATGCTGCAGGAAAATCCGACGAAGCCATTGATTTGCTTCAACAGCTTCCTAAGGAAGACCCCGACCTCAATGCCTTCCTCAGCGTCGGCTACAAGGAGCTTCGTAACAGCAGTGAGCAACACAGGGAGCATTTCTTACGCTCTTTGTTGTACTCAGGGGCTGAAGCTCCCCTCGTGCTTCCCCGAGGGGCCTTCCTTGTCTCAGAGCTTCTTCCTCCCCTTTCCTCCTCCCACTCCCAATAAGCTTTCGACTGTGCAGAAGCACAAAGGCGTCTCTCTGCCGCCTCGGTTCGATGACGATTCTTGCAGGCCGGCTTTCCCCATGCCGCGTGGCGGCTTTGCCGCACTGGACTCTGGCAGAGTGCCGTGAGGAGGTGAAGGTCTTGGACATGTTTAATAGTCTCGCTATGGAGTATGATGTATTCCAGGTGTGGTCCCCCGCTGACTTGCCTGCTGGCGTAAATGCGTTTCTTTGAATGCGCCATTCGGCATTCGTGCCTCCCGTCTACTGCCGCCGTCGTGCGTGTCTCTCACTGACGGCTCTTCTCTGTGCATTCGTTGCTAGTAGAAGCCGCTGCCCTCCCGCTTCGAGGCCTCGTTGCTGAAGTCTTGCCACCAGACAGCCCCCTCATAGCCGCTGCAAAAAACGCGCCTCGTTGCGTGGACGCGTGATCTTGCTGGCTGCACCGCACGCGTCATTCGCACATGCAGCTGAGCTGCCTTGCTTTTAACCTGCGCGTCGTCTCCTCTCCGCCTTCCTGCCCTTCCCAGCGCCTTGGCTCGCTGATGCTGCCTTTCGTGGTCGCTCTCTATGTTCCTCGGTGTCTCCATGAATACACACACACATATATACTATTTACACACATATCTAGATACATTCGTACGCCGTCGCAGCTTTTCGGTGTCTCTTGTGTCTCGTAGGATGCACTGCGCCTCTACGGGGCAACGCGAAAGCCCTGTCACCTCCTTTGGACCGTCATGGCGGCTCTGATTTCTGTGAGTCAAACTTCCGCAGCTATTTTCGCCCAGCTGATCGCCAGGCTCTACACACAAAACATGTTCTACCAAGGCACCCTGCCTCTAGGGCCGTCGGCGGTTTCATCTATTTGCTTGCCTTCTTCCTGAGTTCGGGTTCCCCGAGTGCTCTTTTCCTGCTCCATCTACTTTGGTATTTCGTACGGAGTTCTCCCTCTTGTGAGTCCGTCCACTTTAGCGTCTTTGTGGTTTCTCAGACGCGCCATCCCGGCAGCCGCAAGCGGCTGCAGCTCGCACAGCAGCTCCTGCGGCAGCTGCCTCTCCCTTCACCCCCCAAAGACCTCTCTCCCCAGAGCCTGCAGGACCCCATGGCGAACATTCAGCTGAAAGACGCCAACGCAAGTATGTACAATTCAAGTGCCCTGCACCCGTGGGAGCTCCCTCTCTGCGTTCGTTCTCAGCGTGACATCGGGCCGGAGGAGGGTCCTGTCCTTCTCATGCTTGAGCCCATAGTTTCTGGTTTGAGCTTCCACCGAGCAGTGCGTTCCCCTCCGTCGCTTTCTTGCGTATTGTGGCCCTGGCACTGGGCAAACCGCTCTCTCGTTTATTATCTTTCTCTTTTGTCATACAAGACTCGTCCGCCTAACACGGAAGCTTGCCCCTCTCTGTGTCTCGCGAAATCTCGCACAAGGGGGCGCAACCGAAGCACAAAAGAAAGAACTCACCGATCCAGACGGCCCCCTCTCCCAGTGCACGTGGCTGTTTTGCACTGGAAAAGGGGGCCCAGCTTTACCCGCTTCCGGGCAAGGAACTGGAGGGGTCTCCTACCTGTTTTGAGGGGGGTCTCCCGTGTCAGTCTTAGACTGTCGCGGCTCACTCTAGAGCAGACAGCTCCCGCATATGCGCTTCTTTGTCCTTCTGCAGCGTTGATGGTGCATCTCTCCGTCTTGCGGCAGTGCAACAAGACACACGAGGCCCTGGGTAGGCTGCTGCTGCCACGTGTGCCAGCAGCAAGCGTGGCTTGGGGTCGTGTGTGTGTGGGCCGTTCTCCTCTTGGAGAGCAAGAGGGATTCTGTCTTGCAATCATAGATTCTTTTGTGCTCAGAGCTTCTAAAGAACTTCCGCAATTGTTGCCTCCAACCTGGAGACCTCTCGGCCCTGCGCATTCAGCTCCTCACTGAGGTTGGATTGTTGCTGGTCTCCTGTGCTTCCTGGATGATAGCCGCCTCTTGGGATCCCTTGCTGCTGCTGCCGCTGAAAGCTGTGCAGCGCCTTTGGCTGTGCACGCAGGCAACGTGATGCACTTGCGTGTTGAAGCGGGAGGGGAGGGGAGGGGAAGGAAAGAATTATTACTGATGCTCAGGCCTCTCTACTGGCTGTGTGTCTCTTGATGCGTGGGGTGTCTGCGCAGAGCGGCAACCTGGATGAGGCCCTAGCTGAGGCGGCCAAGGCTATCTCTGACCCGTACGTCTTTGTGAGGGGGGAGGGGGACGCGTTTTATTCTTCTTGGACGTGGGTTGAACGTGTGAGGTAACGACTTCTGTCCGCATTTCTTGCATTGCGTAGACCAAACTGCACGGTAAATCATGTCTCTCCCACTGGGGTGTCGGGTGGGGGATCCGTGTACCTCGCAGCACCGTGGCAACGGAATTCTTGGGAGCCTACGTCCGCCTGGCAGCAGCCAGAGGCGAGGAGGCAACTACGAAGGCTTTTGAAAAGCTCAGATCCATGAGCAGGTCCGTCTCCCAAGCAGCTTCTTAGGGGCCCCTCAGAGGCCCCTAAGGGTACCACGCTGTCGGCGGGTTATCCGCCGTAGGGGATGTGCCGCTCGAAAAAACGCCGGCTGCGTCGCACGCCGTCTACCAGCGGCTGCGAAGAGGCAACCTG